ATTCAAGGAATACAGATGATTTTCAATTGACATAGAAAGAATTCTTGCTAATGATTTCTTAATTTTAGGAAGCAGCCATATAATTGAAGAACTGAAAGTCTGTTTTTTCTTCTTCAATCCCTGAGATTTCTTGTGAGTTTGTTCATGAACAGAAAGATCTTCCTGATCTCTACTCTCACAATCTCCCAGGCACAGTGGCTGTACTCTTTGCCTTGCAAGTACTGGCTTATTCCTTGGAAGTAGCTCTTCAAGGACAGCCTGAGGTTCTCACTTCCTAAGGAAGGCTCTTCCCACTCCATATCCTGCCCAAGACACCTCTCCAGCTGCTCCAGCTGCTGATGCAGTCCATTGAGCAGGTGCTTGAGGTGGGTCTGATTCCAAGTTTCAGGAGTGGAATTCATGCTGAAGATGGTGATGAGCTGCTGTAGTATCTCATGAATAATGGATGTGCTATTTTCCTTCTGGAGCTGGCTGCCTTCCATGGCTTCCTTTGGAAGTTGAATCTGGTCCTGTCCTTCCAACATGGCACCAGGGAGAATGTGCTCATTTGGTTCAGAAGTGAGAAGTCTTTCTGTAGGCCCTGAGTCAGGTCACCGCCCAGGGAGCAGAGGGTGGTGGAGCAGAACAGTATCAGGGCAACTGGCAATATGGTCCAGGAGCGCATGGTAATGCTGAGGATAGTTTGGAGCTGGCTGAGCTGGGAGACCAGTGAACCTCTATCCCAGTCTCTTGTGTTATCTGGACTCTAGGCCAACCACCCCTGTATTCTGTTGAGTGTAATTTTCATCCTCATAATGGATTCTCTTCATTTGTACTCTATTTAAAAAAAGTTTTGGGTTTTGTGTTGGTGATAAATATCCCAGAAGTCCCTCATTCTTACATTTGTGGAATGGAAACCACTTAGACTCTTGAAGATTATGCATATATTAAGCTCTTCATAATCATGAAAGAAGGCTGAAATTTTATGAACACATTCAACATATATTTGTGCAACTGAAATTATATATCTTCTTAAAGAGGATGCAGAAAAGAAGCATTTGTACTTGTAAGGAAACACTAAAGTTTTAAGAAAATATATTTGACATATTTGTGGAACTGAAACTGCATCTACTCTTAAAGAGGATGCAAAGTAGAAACACTTTGTACTCATAAATCAAACTCAAACATATTAGGACACATAACACCTTTATATTTGTGCAAAGGAAACCACATCTTCTATGTAAGGGGAGAGACAAAAGGAACTCTTCTTTGTAATAATTCATACTCATATGACTCTTATATTTGTGCAACTGAAACCAAGTCTTCTCTTAAAGAGGAGGGGAAAAAAGAAACTCTTTTTTATGATAAATAGCACTCATATACTTGTGCAACTGAAACCAAGTCTTCTCTTAAAGAGGAGGGACGAAAGGAACTCTTTTCAATCATGAATCACACTCAAATGTTTTAGTACACACATCACCCTTATATTTGTGCAACTGACACCAAGTCTTCTCTTAAAGAGGAGGAAAAAAGGAACTCTTTTTTATGATAAACAACACTCATATATTGTGCAACTGAAACCAAGTCTTCTTTAAAGAGGAGGGACGAAAGGAACTCTTTTCAATCGTGAATCATACTCAAATATTTTAGTACACACATCACCCTTATATTTGTGCAACTGAAACCACATCTTCTCTTTAAGAGGAGGGACAAAAGGAACTCTTCTTTGTAATAATTCATACTCATATGACGCTTATATTTGTGCAACTGAAACCAAGTCTTCTCTTAAAGAGGAGGGACAAAAGAAACTCTATGTAATCATAAATCAAACTCAAAAGTTTCAACAAAGAATTGATGTATATTTGGAATGGAAACCACGTGTACTCTTAAAGAGGATGCAAAGTAGAAACTTTGTTTACTCATAAATCAAACTCAAACATGTTAGGACACATACACCCTTATATTTGTGCAACTGAAACCATGTCTTCTATTTAAGGGAGAGACAAAAGGAACTCTTCTTTGTAATAATTCATACTCATATGACTCTTATATTTGTGCAACTGACACCAAGTCTTCTCTTAAAGAGGAGGGAAAAAAGAACTCTTTTTTATGATAAATAGCACTCATATACTTGTGCAACTGAAACCAAGTCTTCTCTTAAAGAGGAGGGACAAAAGGAACTCTTTTCAATCATGAATCACACTCAAATATTTTAGTACACACATCACCCTTATATTTGTGCAACTGAAACCAAGTCTTCTCTTAAAGAGGAGGGAAAAAAGGAACTCTTTTTTATGATAAACAACACTCATATATTTGTGCAACTGAAACCAAGTCTTCTCTTAAAGAGGAGGGACGAAAGGAACTCTTTTCAATCGTGAATCATACTCAAATATTTTAGTACACACATCACCCTTATATTTGTGCAACTGAAACCACATCTTCTCTTTAAGAGGAGGGACAAAAGGAACTCTTCTTTGTAGTAATTCATACTCATATGACTCATATTTGTGCAACTGAAACCAAGTCTTCTCTTAAAGAGGAGGGAAAAAAGGAACTCTTTTTTATTGATAAATAACACTCATGTACTTGCGCAACTGCAACCAAGTCTTCTCTTAAAGAGGAGGGATGAAAGGAACTCTTTTCAATCGTGAATCATACTCAAATATTTTAGTACACACATCACCCTTATATTTGTGCAACTGAAACCAAGTCATCTCTTAAAGAGGAGGGACAAAAGAAACTCTATGTAATCATAAATCAAACTCAAAAGTTTCAACAAAAGATATTTGATGTATATTTGTGAATGAAACCACTGTTACTCTTAAAGAGGATGCAAAGTAGAAACTTTGTACTCATAAATCAAACTCAAACATGTTAGGACACATAACACCCTTATATTTATGCAACTGAAACCAAGTGTTCTCTTAAAGAGGAGGGAAAAAAAGAACTCTTTTTTATGATAAATAACACTCATATATTTGTGCAACTGAAACCAAGTCTTCTCTTAAAGAGGAGGGATGAAAGGAACTCTTTTCAATCATGAATCACACTCAAATATTGTAGTGCACACATCACCCTTATATTTGTGCAACTGAAACCACATCTTCTCTTTAAGAGGAGGGACAAAAGGAACTCTTCTTTGTAGTAATTCATACTCGTATGATGCTTATATTTGTGCAACTGAAACCAAGTCTTCTCTTAAAGAGGAGGAGCAAAAGAAACTCTTTGTACTCAGAAATCAAACTCAAAAGTTTTAGGAACAGATACTTGCCTTATATTTGTGGAAGTGAAAACATGTCTACTCTTAAAGAGGATGCAAAGAAGAAACTCTTTATACTCATAAACCAAACTCCAACATATTAGTACCACATACCAGGCTTATACTTGTGCAACTGAAACCACATCTACTCTTAAAGGGGATGCAAAGTAGAAACTCTTTGTACTCATAAATCAAACTCAAACATGTTAGGACACATAGCACCCTTATATTTGTGCAACTGAAACCAAGTCTTCTCTTAAAGAGGAGGGACAAAAGAAACTCTTTGTAATCATAAGTCAAACTCAAAAGTTTTAACAAAAGATATTCGATGTATATTTGTGGAATGGAAACCACATGTACTCTTAAAGAGGATGCAAAGTAGAAACTTTGTACTCATAAATCAAACTCAAACATGTTAGGACACATAACACCCTTATATTTGTGCAACTGAAACCATGTCTTCTCTTAAAGAGGAGGGACAAAAAGAACTCTTTTTAATCATAAATTGTACTCACATATTTTGGGACACATAACACCCTTATATTTATGCAACTGAAACCAAGTCTTCTCTTAAAGAGGAGGGACAAAAGAAACTCTTTGTAATCATAAATCAAACTCAAAAGTTTTAACAAAACATATTTGACTTATATTTGTGGACTGAAACCTTGTGTACCTTTGAAGAGGATGTACAAAAGCAACTCTTTCTAATCATAAATGTAACTCAAACATTTTAGGAAGACATACTCATCTTATATGTTTGGAACTGAAACCATGTCTACTCTTATAGAGGATGCACAAAAAAAAATCTTTGTACTCAGAAATCAAACTGAAAAGTTTTAGGAACAGATACTTGCCTTATATTTGTGGCAATGAAAACACATCTACTCTTAAAGAAGATGCAAAGAAGAACCTCTTTGTACTCATAAATTAAACTCAAACATTCTAGTTCTTATATTTGTGCAACTAAAACCATGTCTACTCTTAAACAGGGTGCACCAAAGAAACTCTTTGTATTCATAAATGAATGTCAGAACTTTTATGAACATATACTTGGCTTATATTGTAGAACTGAAACCAAGTCTATGGTTTTTTTTGTTTGTTTTGTATTGTTTTTTGGGTTTTTTTTTGGTGGAGGATGTGGACAACAACATGTCTACTCTTAAACAGCTTACATAAAAGAAACTCTTTGTACTCATAAACAAACCTGAAACATTTAAGAAAAACATATTCAACTTATATTTGTGGAAATGAAACCATGTCTACTGTTAAAAAGTATGCAAAAAAAAAAAGAAACTTTTTGCAATCATCAAAGATATTCAAACCTTTTAGGAACACATACCCCCCTTATATTTGTAGTACTGAAACTGAGTCTACCTTAAAAAGGATGAATAAAAGAAACTCTCTGTATTCATTAATGGACTTAAAACATTTTAGGAACACATACTTGTCTTATATTTGTGTAATTGAAACCAAGTCTTCTCTTAAAGAGGAGGAACAAAAACTCTGTGTAATCATAAATCAAACTCAAAAGTTTTAACAAAATATATTCAACTTATATTTGTGGACTGAAACCTTGTGTACTCTTAAAGAGGATGCACAAAAGAAACTCTTTGTATTCATCAATGATATTCAAACATTTTAGGAATACATTTGTCTTATATTTTTAGAACTGAAACTATCTTAGAGAGTATGCACACACACAACAAAACCTCTTTATACTCAGAAATCAAACTCAAACATTTTAAGAACAGATACTCACCTTATATTTGTGGAAGTGAAAACACATCTATCGACATTTAAAGAAGATGCAAAGAAGAACCACTTTGTACTCATAAACCAACGTTGAACATTTTAGGACCACACACCAGCCTTATATTTTGCAACTGAAACCAAGTCTGCTCTTAAAGAGGATTCACAAAAAAGCTCTTTGTAGTCTAAATGAAACTCAAAATTTTAAGAAAACATATTCGACTTACATTTGGGGAACTAAAACCATGTCTACTTAAAGAAGATGTCCAAAAGAAATTCTTTTTACTCATAAAGAAACTCAAACTTTTAGGAACACATATTCTACTTAATTTGTGAACTGAAACCGTGTCTATTCTTAAAGAGGAGGCACAAAAAAACTCTTTAAACTCAGAAATGAAACTCAAACATTTAGGCACACATACTTATATTTGTGAAACTGAAACCATGTCTACTATTAAGGATTATACATAAAAGAAATTATTAGTACTCATAAATGAAAATGCAACATTTTAGAAAACTTAATTGACTTATTTGTGGAACTGAAAAATTGTACCTAAAAGAATTTCTTTGTACTCATAAATCAAACTAAAATATTTTAAGAAAAAAACATTCTAGTTATATTGGTGTAACTAAAACCAAATCTACCCTTAAAGAGGAGAGACAAAAGAAACTATTTGTACTCATAAATCAAACCTAAAGTTTTAGGTAATACATATTGCCATATATTTATGGAACTGAAACCACATCTGCTCTTAAAGAGGAGGCAAAGTAGAAACTCTTTGTACTCATAAATCAAACTCAAACATTTTAGGACAGATAGCACCCTTATATTTGGTTTTTTTTAATCACTTTCTCAATTTTATTTTTATCATGTATTTTTAAAGGGTAGAGTAGGTGTTACACTTAGATGTAATTTAAGTATTCTGTACGTAGAATAAAGTTGCCAGAAATTTGGGTATCACATGATTTGTTAAAATTTTAAATAACTTTTTTAGCAATCACCTACTCAACAAATATTAGATACATGGAAGTCACTAAAGAGCCATGGACTTTGGCCACATCTTCTCCATGCATTGTCTGAATAGAAAATCAGCAAAGCTGTAGATAATGCATGATCTGAATAACCCATCTGCAAAGCACATTCCCACACAAATCACATGGCTTTGTTTTCTACCTTCTTTGAGCTGCTCTGTTGAACGATAGTCCCAGCAGGTCTAGCTGTGTGACCCTGGGCAAATCACTTAACTCGATTACCTCTTCATGTTCCACTGGAGTCCTGTATTTGAAAGTCAAATTTTCTTTAGCTCTGGTCTTTTCATCAGGAATGCTTGAAAGTCCTCTATTTCACTGAATGACCATTTTTTCCCCTGAAGGATTATACTCAGTTTTGCTGGGTAGGTGATTCTTGGTTGTAATCCTATCTCCTTTGCCCTCCAGAATATTATATTCCATGCCCTGCGTCCTTTAATGTAGAAGCTGCTAAATCTTGTGTTATCCTGATTGTGTTTCCACAGTACTTGAATTGTTTCCTTCTGGCAGCTTGTAATATTTTCTCCTTGACCTGGGAACTCTGGAATTTGGCTACAATATTCCTAGGAGTTTTCCTTTGGGATCTCTTTCAGGAGGAGATCTGTGGATTCTTTCAATTTCTATTTTGCCCTCTGGATCTAAAATATCAGGGCAGTTTTCCTTGATAATTTCTTGAAAGATGATGTCTAGGCTCTTTTTTTGATCATGGCTTTCAGATAGTCCAATAATTTTTAAATTCTCTCTCCTGGATCTATTTTCCAGGTCAGTTGTTTTTCCAATGAGATATTTCACATTGTTTTCTAATTTTTCATTCTTTTGGATTTGTTTTACAGTGTCTTGATTTCTCATAAAGTCACTCTTCCAATTGCTCTATTCTAATTTTTAAGGAAGTATTTTCTTCAGTAATCTTTTGGACTTCCTTTTCCATTTGGCCAATTTTCTTTTTAGGGCATTTTCTCCTCATTGGCTTTTTACCTCTTTTGCCATTTGGGTTAGGCTTTTTTAAGGTGTTATTTTCTTCAGTATTTTTTTGGGTCTCCTTTAGCAAGCTGTTGACTTGTTTTTCATGATTTTCTTGCGTCACTCTCATTTCTCTTCCCAGTTTTTCCTCTACTTCCCTTACTTGCTTCTCAAAATCCCTTTTGAGCTCTTCCAAGGCCTGGGACTGATTCATATTTTTCTTGGAGGCTTTGGATGTAGGAGCTTTGACTTTGTTGTCTTCTTCTGGTTGTATATTTTGATCTTCTTTTCACCAAAGTAAGATAATATAGTCTGACTCTTTTTGTGCTGCTTGCTCATGATCCCAGCCAATTACTTGAGTTTTAAACTCTTTGTTAAGGTAAGAGTCTGCTTCCAATGTGGAGAGTGTACTGTCCCAAGCTTCAGGGGTTTGTGTAGCTGTTTTCAGAGATACTTGTAGGGACCTGTAAATTTTCAGTTCTTCCAAGGTGGTATGATAAGGGGTGAGGTGTTTACTCCTTTCCTGGCCTGTGACCACAAGTATTCCTTTCTGTCCTGTAACTGTGAGGAGGGGTTCCTCTCCACAGCCACTACAGGCTCCACCATGCCAGTGCTCCTCCTCACCCCAGCACTGCTGCCCAGAACTGTGACCCAGATCCAAACACGGGCAAAGCAAGAGATTCCTGCCTCAGCACTGGCAAAGAGATCCCTGCAATCCCTCTCTGATCAGCCACTGGATTCCCCCTCAGTCTGTGGGCCAGAAGCTCGGGAAGCAGCTGCCCCCCCGGGCCATGCTCTTGGGGAATGGAGCTGAGACCCTGCCTTCCTCTCTGAGCACCACAGAAACAGACTTTTCCCACTGACCTTCTAAGTTGTCTTTGGCATTTGTGGATTGAGGAGTCTGGAAACCTCCACAGCTGCCCGCAATTCAGTCCTCTGAGGCCTGCTCCAGGTTTGCTGTGGCCTGCATGCCCACGCTCGCTGCGTGCACTCCCAGCCCGCACGATACACCTTTCTGATCAATCATCCAGGTTGTCTTGGGCTGGAAATTTTTTCACTCTGTCTTTTTGTGGGTTCTGCTGCTTCAGAATTTGTTTAGAGCCATTTTTTATGAGTATTTGGAGGGGTTTGGGGGAGAGCTCAAGCAAGTCACTGCTTTCACTCGCCATCTTGGCTCCACCAGCACCCTTATATTTGTGCAACCAACAAAGTCTACTCTTAAAAAGGAAGCACAAAAGAAACTCTTTCTAATCATAAATCAAACTCAATTGTTCTAACAAAACATATTCAATGTATATTTGTGGAACTGAATCTATGTCTACTCTTAAAGAGAAGGAACAAAAGAAACTTTTTGTAATCATAGATCAAATTCAAAAGTTGCAACAAAACATATTCAATGTATATTTGTGCAACTGAAACCATGTCTGCTCTTAAAAAGGATGCAGAAAGAAACTCTTTCTAATCATAAATCAACTCAATTGTTCTAACAAAACATATTCAATGTATATTTGTGGAACTGAATCTATGTCTACTCTTAAAGAGAAGGAACAAAAGAAACTTTTTGTAATCATAGATCAAATTCAAAAGTTGCAACAAAACATATTCAATGTATATTTGTGCAACTGAAACCATGTCTGCTCTTAAAAAGGATGCAGAAAAGAAACTCTTTGTATTCATAACTGAAAGTCAAACCTTCTAGAAACATATACCGGACATACTTGTGGAACTGAAATCATGTCTACTCTTAAAAAGTATGCAAAAAGGAAACTTTTTGCAATCATAAACAAAACTTGAACACATACTCCCCTTATATTTGTGGACCTGAAACTGTGTCTACTCTTAAAGAGGACGCACAAAAGAAACTCTTTGAACTCATAAATCAAACTCAAAGTTTTAACAAAACACATTCAACTTATATTTGTGGACTGAAACAGTGTTTACTCTTAAAGAGGATGCACAAGGAAACTCTGTACTCTAAATGAAACTCAGACATTTTAAGAAAACATATCGACTTATATTTGGGAAACTAACCATGTGTCCTTAAATAGAATGTCCAAACGAATTCTTTTTATAATAAAACAAACTCAAACATTTTAGGAATACATATGCAACATGTATTTGTGGAACTGAAACCACATATACTCTTAAAGAGTATGCAGTTGGGGCAGCTAGGTGGTGCAGTGCATAGAGCACTGGCCCTGGCGTCAGGAAGACCTGAGTTCAAAATCCTGTCTCAGATATTTGACACTTACTAGCTGTGTGACTCTGCCCAAGGAACTTAACCCATTTGCCTACCCAAAAATTGTTTTTAAAAAGTGTACATAAAAGAAACTCAATAGTTTTATTCAACAGAAGTGGAAATGAATTAAGGGAGCACAAAAAGGAAGCTATAGACCCATATGGAAACTTAATTACCTAATTCTAAACAAGTATGTCAAAGAACAAATTAACAAAACAGTTAACCAACTTATGAAAGACAGTGAAAATGATGAGATAACACCTCAGCATTTCTTTATTTCCTGTAAAGGAGTGCTCAGAGGAAAAATTATATTCCAAAAATACTTATAAAATATTATGAGCATCAATGAACTGTACAAATAGTATTTTTTTTAAAAGAAAAGACAACAAAGAAAACCAAACAGCTCAGCAAAGGAAATCTAAGAAGAAATAGATCAATTATATCTTAAAAGTCTATAGAATTGATAAATAGAACCAAATGCTGGTTTATTGGAAAAAAACTCATCAAAACTATATACCTTTAACCAACTTATTTAAAAAGACAAGTGTGGGGAAATGAACCGATAAGAGACCATAAAATCATAAAAATAAAAAAAACATACAAAATGATTTTCAGATCTTACTGTACCAAATTATATGCCAACAAAGCTTAGAATTCAAAAGAAATATGGGATCATGTACAAAAATGTGATACCCCAAGTTTTTTTTAAGTAGCAAATGGGAATCTTAAATAATTAAGTCTGAATAAAATGACTTCAAATATATATAAATGAACAACTAAAAAAAACCCCACACTATTCTTTACCAAATTATAGGAGAATTTTATCAGTCTCTTAAAGAGCAATTAATACCTGTGCTACTCTAATTATCCTCAAAAATTGAGAAAGA